TGACACGCGTGTCATAGGTTCGCCATCACTGGTCTAGAGGATATATTGATTCAGTAACCAGAGTAAGTGTGTTGTGTGGCTCCACTTGAGCATTCCCAGGAAAAAACCCCAAATGAAATCCTGCATGGCCGTCTCTCCCAGTGAGAGATGCTGCCGCCGCTGAGCCAGGGGTTTCTGCTTGAAAATGAAGGCGTGCAAGTAAAATGGATCCGATTTTGCTCAGACTCGGCTTCTGCCCCCACCCTATCCCCCTCTTTCGATTCTGGGAGTGGCTGGGTTCTGTGATTGGTAAATCCACAATAAAATAAAGTGCTGCCCTTTAAGCTGGATTGCAAGGTTGGTGTGTGCCAGGTGCTGCAATAGGTGTGGTATCAGTCATGTGACTCTGCCCTGGGCACTTTCACCTCTTCCTTGCACAGACTTTAAAAATGTAGGCTGTGAATGGGAGCCGCCTGAGCTCCTCGCTGAGGGGTGGAAGGAAAAGAGAAGTGTTGCGGGGGGGGGGGGGGCTGTGAAGTGAGGCAGGGCTGGTCGGGAGACCCCTGCTTGGTTGAGCTGCATGGTGGCTTCTCGGGCTACAGCAGCGTTTCCCAATCTCGGCAACTTAAAGATATGTGGATTCCAACTCCCAGAATCCCCCAGCCAGCATACAGTATCTGGGCTTCAGCTCCCATATACTAGGGATTCTCAGGTTGGAGCCCAGGCAGGTTGGCTGGAGAATTCTGGCAGTTTAAGTTCACACATTGTAGCATTGCCAAGGTTGAGAAACACTATCCTAGGTGGACAGAAATAAACCACAATGAATCTATGAAAAATACGTTCAGCTGTATTAAGAGGCCTATTCTTGTGCAGCGTAAACATTGCTCGATTCAATCAAAGTTCTTTTGGGTGGAGTTGTGAAGCTTATGCGGCATAGTTCAATACTGCTGGAAGCGCCCTGCATTCCAGGGAAGTTGGTAGGATCCACAATAATTAAAATCTGTCGTAACAGATGCATTTTCAAGCATCAAAAGATGTTAAGCCACACAGTTCAGAACTGGCAGTTGTTGATTCCTGTGAACTGGTGACAATATAAAGTTTGGGACAGCCTTTGTGAACCATTATACAGCTCAACCTTGCCCAGTTGTCTCTCCAGAGATGTTGGATCATAATAATGGCATTTAGTGCAGTCTATCACATCTGGAAGACACCGACTTCAGAAAAATTGTTAATAAGGGTTAATAACTTAACCAAAAATTTCACTGATCTCTTGGGAAAAAGGGTTAATAACAGTCCATGCCGCTTGCCTTGTCAATGATGGCTGCTAGTCCTGGTTTGCAAAAGGGCAACTGAGCTGAAGAGAAAACACCCCATCCTTCTCTCCAGGATGAATGCAGCAACCTGGTGATACTCCCTGAGAGAAAGCAAAGAGGGGCTTTCGAAAAGAACTGGACCCTTTCTCAGTCTAGGAGGGGGTTTTATGGGGTGGGGGGCACTTGTAGTTCAGGGCCTGGATTCATCAGCCAAAAATTGGGCAGCCCTTGATGGGAAGGGCCCTCCCTTCTGCCACTGTGCAGGGCTGCTGCCCATCAGATCAAGAAAGGGTTGGGGGTGTGGAGATTTCCTGCCTTCCATTTGCTGCTTTGTGTGTGTGGAAGGGAAATGGACCCTCGTTTTCCTCTCAGTCTGAGGACTCTTCTTTTCCCCTCTGTGTCTCCAGGTGCTGCTGCCAAGGCGGAGAATGAGGAGAAGCGGCTGAGTGTCCAGTACAAGGCTGTAGAAGACCAGCCGGACAATGTGTTCTTCCCCAGCAGCCGCCCGCCACACCTGGAGGAACTGCACGTCCAGGCCCAGGCGGGGCTCAAGTCTTTGCAGAACCTAGGTAGGCTGACTGGGTTGGTGGCCAGGAGGGGCTGGCAAGGCCTTCTGGGGTTGACTTTGGAGCTGCTTGTTGGTCTGTAGGTCTCGCCCCACACGGATGGGACAGTTTTCCTTGCTTAGCATCCCATCTCAAAGCCAGCAGCTTTGCAGGTGGTGCTGGCCAGCCTCTCCCAGCCTGATGCCCTCAAGATGTGGGATGGGATGGGATGGAAAGTCCCGGTTGACATGAGATTGAGAAAAGTTGTGCTGAAAACTCAGCTGCTGTCTGTGCACCCATATTTGAATGTGTGAATGAAGAAGACAAAGTTTGTGGATTCAGGGGTCCCTTACGGGTCAATCAGGTTCAGTGCAGGAATCTATTAAGCCACCCCAACAGGTGGGCAAGCAGCAGCCGGGGAGCCCAGCCCTGTCTCCAGTAGGGAAATATCTCCGAAAATCCAGCTGGAATCTCCTTCCTTTTAATTTCAGTTCTTGGTGAGCCCGAAGGAGGGAGATTAGAATTGTAGTTTTCCTTGGTGGCTCTTCAGGCTTATCCCATGACCCCCTGGCTGCCCCTTTGCAGTTTAAAAAGGGCTTTATATCATGTGAGATTCTGGCAGCATTGCCCCACACAGCTGAAGCAGGAGATTCTGAAAACTCCCAAATTTCTGCATTCTCCTGTGAAATCTTTGAATATCCCCCATTAAGAATGCCAGAATCCCCCCAAATTAAGCAGTCCCAGGATAATTTGGTTTAATTTGAGAGTCTGAACATGCCATTGTGGAAAATCTGTGGCCAACTCTTGACTTCCCAGTTCAAAAATTTCACTGATCTCTTGGGATAAAATTCATGGGATTAGTAAAAATAATACCTTTTTACAGGAGAAGTGCAGCATGCAAATTTCATATAAAACTAGGCATATATTTTTCCTCCCAAAATATAAATGCACATGAAATGAAATGGGGAAAAGGAGGGGGGGCAGATGCTCCAAGGTCTAAATTAGACCATGTAATTTGGTGCAATTTGAGCAATGACGGAGGAGATGACATCCCTCAACTCTGAAATGGTTCTGCCTTCCCTAAGTGGAATCACAAGGGGATGTTGCGATGGCACCGAGGGGGGAAGCCACAGAATGGTGGGTTTTGAGGAAAGCAGAAGGTCCTGGCTTGAGATGGAAGCTCTCCAGGGCTTTGCTTGGAGAGCCATTGATTGTAAAGTGAGATATCCTGTGACTTTATTGCTTAGAGGTGGCAACCTGGTCGTCATCATTAAGCAAGGACCAGGGAGAAGAGGCGGGCAGGCAAGCTAGAGCTACAGGCAGGTGTGCATTATGGAGGCAGACAGGTGGGCAAAAAAGTGGCAAAAGCAACTTGTTGGCTTCTCCCAACTATTTTGCTTGTTGGAAGCCAACAGGGAAGGTCATAAATGATTATTGTGTGACCATCATTAATTGTGAGCTGGTTGCCAAGTACGTGAATTGTGATTGTGTACTGCAATGTCAGCAACCATAAGCACTGGTTGCAAGTCCCTCTTGTTTAACGCTGTCATAAGTTTGAAGAATTGCTGGATAAGTAGTTGTAGCCCAAAGACTACCTATAGATATGCCCTGAGTGGGATTCCAACCGGGAGTTGTAAGGGGCTTGGTCTGGTGGAATGATCTGGGTGAATCTGTGTCAGGGACTGAGGAAGGGGGGAAGTTCTCTCTGCTCTTAGTTCAGCCTCCTGTTCGATGGGCCCAGGAGCCTCAGGAGGATGACCAGTCGTTGGGTCCAACACCTGGGAGGAGCGTGGGCCTCTTTGTGAGTCAGGGAAAGGCCTTCTTCTGCCTTCAAGGAGGTGGTGATGAATTCTCTTCTCACGAGATGCCTCTGGACTGTTTTAGAGACCTCCCGTCTAAACTTCCTTTTTAGGGAAGGTTGTTGTGAAGGTGACTTGGCTGTAGAGGACCTTGGAGGCTGCATCAGACCCATTTCAGTTGGATTTCAGGCCATGATTCAGCACAGAGACAGCCTGGATCTTCCTTGTGGGTAGTGGAACCAGGAGAAGCAGGGGTGCCTCCCTCCCCAGGCTCCTTGATTTTCCAGGGCCCGTCAATCCCTGGACCAGCTCCAGGGGCTGGGAATGCAGGGCTGGCCGGATTACAGGGGCTCTTCCTTCCTTCCTCGCAGCCCTGCTGTCGTCCGTGTGGATGTGGAGGGAGAGGATGCCCCCCCCATAGTCCTCCGCTTTGGGAGGTGTCTCCCCTTTTACTCAGCCTCCGCATGAGACTGCTGGACAAAGTCAGCTACTTTGGGCGTCCAGGTGTCCCCAGTCTGCGATGCTGCGGATTCTGTTTTTCCACCCAGACCAGCCAGGCTCAGGACCAGGTGGCTGGGGCTGTGGGGGGCATGTGCATTGAGACCGGGGGGGGGGGGGGAGGGGTGCCTCCCTGGAAAGTCTTAGAGGCCTGGCTGTGTCCCAGGCCTGGGGGAGGGTGGATGGATCCCCCTCTCTTAGATGTCTTCTTCCTATTTATAGACACTTGATGTGAATTGGGTTTCCATTCTGCTCATCCCTATTCCTGATTTCACTTACTGCATTTTTATTCTCTTCTGCATTTTGTTTAACATTGTGAGCTGCCCAAACTTGCTTTGGAATTGAGTGGTGCCAAAATGGAACACATTGTTTTGAGCTGGCTTTGTTTCCAGAGGGAGCAGAGGGGGCTCCTATGGGTGTGTGTCCCTCCTTGTAGCCCCCCTTCACAGTTTGAAAAAAGAGGGAGAAGAGGCTGTTCCTGGGGGTTTGAATTGAAGTGGGAGAAGCCAGGCAGACTGCAGACCCCGAGTGGGGATTGTGCAATGGAAAACTCCTTGTAATGAAGGAAAGGCCGGAACTTCAGCCATGAGAAATTCTCTTCTCCTTTGAAACAAGGCTCGAAATACGCATCGTCTTTCATGCAGCTCAGCGAGAACCAGTGGAAAGAAATACAGGATCCACGGCCTTCACAACAGAGTTTTTTAGGTTTAGATTGGGGCTATCCGGTTCTGTGAGTGTTGTGCGTGGGGACCTACACCTACACGCACACAAACACACAAACAGAGGGAGGGAGAGAGAAAGATATTTGCTTTAGATGAAACATTTATCTGCTGATGGTTCTGCCCCCAACGGAGGCCAAACAAGCCGAATCCTCTGCAGCTGCGCAGAGCAGATGGGCCGGTGGCAGAGCCAGAGCGGAGTCCAGGGCTGGTGGGCTCAACTCTTTAAAGAGCCAGCGACCTCCGGCACCTTCATGCTGGCCCCGAATGCAGCTTCTGAACACCAGTGGTTGGGAGCTTACAACTCAAGGGAGCTTCTAGTGCCACCATCTCTGCAATCAGACTCCCCAGTTCATGGTTGGGGGGCTCCCAGGCCCTCTCGAGCTGATCCATGGCTGTGCCTGTCCTGTTGCCTTTTAGAGAAGCAGAAGAAGACCAGGAAGATCTGGGACCACAGTGAGACCATCAGTACCCAGGTAAGCCATCTGCCTGCCCTCCCCCCTTCCCCCCGTTGTCTCACTGTATTGTGCTCTCCCTGTGCAGCAGCCGCCGCACCCTTCTTGCACCCTCCCAGATTTGCTGGGCTACAGCTCCCCTCCTAGGGCCCCCCTATTCTTTGGGCCTAGCATGCCCTGCCAACACAGCCACTTGGAAAGTCAGCCGGGAAGCTCTTCTCTGCCCCTCGATATTGACCTTGCCTGGCTGATGAGGGAGGAAGCACGGGGGTCCTAGGACACGCTCTCTCCCACCAAAGCCACCCGAGTGCTGTGCTTGACCTTTGGGGGAGGGGGTGTCTTCCCCTCCCTGCTGCATCCCTGGGAATATTTACCTTGCCTTCAGCCAGCTGCACTTTGTCCCTGCAGAGAGCCCCAGGGCCTCCCTCGGCTGCTGCTCCCATCCAGGTGCCTCTTTTTGGAAGGTGTTAAAACTCCAATAATTGTTAAATTTGCTTTGTTTGTCTATTTTTCCTCTTTTGTTAACAACATGTACAAAAAAGTAATAATACAATGGAGAGTTTAATCCTATGTGATTAGCCCAAGACCCAAACCTTTATTGTATGACAAATACTTCAATGCAATCAGTAGTGATTCCCCCCCCCCCCCAATGTAGTGTAATATTCTGGATGAAAAGGTCAAATAATCTTATGCTCAGTAACATTGAAATCCAAAATTGTAACTAATGGATATAATACTTCTTTCTCCTTTCTTTCTCCTCCATAGTCTAAGTTACCCAAAAACATCTTGAATTGAAGCTAATAATCTTCAATTAATATTTTACAAATATAGCAACATCAAAATAAAACATATTAAGATTTACAGCAAACTAAGAGAAAAAAGGGGGATGAAAAGAAACCCTCCAGGAGTCTGGGGCCTTCTGGATGAGGAATGAGGGAAGCTGGTGATGGTGCTTTAAACCAAGACTCTGAGCAGAGAAGGACCATGAAACCTCTCTGGATAAGAAGAAGGCAGGATATCGTCCACTTGTGCTTCAGACAGCTGTTCCTTGTGAGGGGATGGCAGGAGAGGGGTTTCCCCCAGGAGATGAAGGGAAGTCATCGCCCTCTTCAGTCAGCTTCTCACTTCTGTTTCTATCACTTTCAGAAATTACCTGTTTAACTATCTTAAGGCTAGTAGAGTTCTTTAAAAATACCTGGTAAGTTTATCTTCACTGCACAACAAAAGAAAAATTAACTATAAGCTTAAGAAATTAAAGAAGTTGAAAGAAGTTGCAAAAAGCTAACCAAGATTTTAATTCAAAATAGTTGTCAATATATTAAAGGACCAGACAAATTTTGAATATTAAGATTTTGGTGTAAGATTTTGGAAATAATTATATAAATAAGCAGCACCCAAATGGAAGCTAAATTATTTACCCTACTTTAAGGCATAACAGAAATTTGAGACTTTTATGATTTTAGAAATTGGATGCTACAATAGTGGGAACTAAAGATTCTGAATATACAAGGAGAAAGAAAGAAGATCTTCTCTCTTTGGTCAGTACTGAGACAGAATGACGGGAAATGATATGACATACTCCAGGAGATTTTTGAAGGGGAACAAAAACCAGCAGCCACAATGTCAGCCATGATTTCTGCTTCAGTGATAGACGTTGTCCAAATGATGTTAAAGGAGCAATGACAAGTGTGAAGTAGAATATCTTGGAAGATCTACCGATAAAGAGACGAAACAAACATGATCTGATGCAGAAATGTTAAAATATAAAGAGATTGTTGAAACATTGGACAAAATTTTAAAATATGGATTATAAGACACAGATGACAGTTAAAGTCGAAATACAAATGATAAGGCAAGAAAAAAATAAAGGTTTTCTTGTCCACTTGTGTCCGACTCTTAAGGTCTGGGGCTCATCTCAGTTTATTGGCCGAGGGAGCCAGCATTGTCTGACGACATTTCTCCTGGTCATGTGGCCAGTATGGCTACATGCCAAAGGTACACCAATTGCTGTTACCTTCTCTGCGAAGTGGTACCTATTTATCTACTCACACTTGCATGCTTTCAAATTGCTATTGGACAGGAGCTCACCCCATTTCCCAGTGCTCAGGTCTCGAACCTGAACTATCAGCTTCATGATAATTATATAGAGAAGATTTTTAAAAGTGGAGTATTTGTTCCACAGAAAACTATTTGTCTGATTCAAATAATACCAAACAACAAATAATACTAATAATACTAATTATCATCATCATCATCATTATCATTATTTGGAATTCTGGCTTGCTGGCACTGAGTAAGCCAGATAGGGAATTCTCCTTGCTCTTCTTCAGTTACTCAACTCCCTGCACTTACCAAGAATGTGCAGGACTCAGAATGGTTAGTTAATAGTTTCACAGATAGTCCTCAATGGGTGCTCAGCCTGTCGCACAGTGCTCAGGGGTCGACCTGGGCTGTTGACTTTCCATCAAGCCCCCAAAGGCAAGAAAATAACCTGGATAATGACCCCCTTACTGGATTTACAAAAGAGATTTGCTTAAGCCTCAAAGAAGAGAAAGAAAAACTGAAGAATGATGAAACCAACAACATTTGAATGAATGAAAGAAGACCAAGATTGCTAGAAGCAAAAGGAAGGAGTACAAAGTTGATTTGATTGGCCAAGGTTAAAACAATAAAGCTCTGTGAACTCTTTATGGACTTTTTGCCGACACCAGGACTGGAATGTTAAGGTTTTATGGATTTCGTGTATGGATAAGGAAAAAGATCCTTATAAGGGCTGAAGAATTATTAACTTTGCTTTCTACTTGTAGGAAGTCACTTCTTCAAGTATTTCCTTTCTTTTTAACTTATTTTTTCCTCTTTCCTTTTTTCTTTTCTATTGCACTTTCTGTTCTTTATTTTCCTTTCTGGGTTTATTGTCTTTTATTGTCATTATTTCTAAGTATTTTCAATAAAAATGATTAAAAGCAAAAACAAAAATCCCTGAGTGGGTGTATGGATGAAGGCAGGAAGGGCTTCCCTCATAGCTGTGGCACTCATGGAGGTTCAAAATAGTCAAGAGGGCTGCATGGCCCTCTTGCCCTGCATTGAATAAAAGGGCTGAGCTTGGATTGTGCAGTCAGGACTCCCAGGGGAACATTTCTGACTCGCACAAGTTGCTCCTCTCCAGGTTTATAGCTTGGGAAGAAATCTGTTTACCAGAAACCATAATGTGGTGCTTCTTAATTCACTGAAATGACTGCAGTTCCAGCTGCAAAATTATTATTTCCTCCCCTTTTAACATATAACTCAAGGTGGGGAACAGACCCCCTCCTCTTTCCTCCTCCCTCTTTTCCCCAGAAGAACAACCCTGTGAGGTGGGTCGAGAGTCACCCAGCTGGCTTTTGGGCTGAAAAGGTGAGAACGCAGCCTGTAGTCCAGCATCTTCACCACCACTCCAGATTTCAAAAAGATCTCTTGATTCGTTGGAAACTTGCAGCCCTGTGCAAGGCAAAGTGGGTCTTCAGAGCCCCTCTTGGAGGGCAGGAGAGCCAAAGTATATCTGAGCAGGTTCCTCATTGCTGCTCATGCCTGAATTCTGCAAACTGCTTACAACTGCAGCGTTCACTTAACAACCGCGGCACAAAAAGGTCATAAAATCAGGTTGGTCACTTTAAAATGGACCTGATATGACAGTTTTGCTGAAAACCAGAAGTAAATGCTAATCTTGAGCAAAACTGCCGTAAAATGCTGTCATGGGACTGTAGGAAGTTGCAAATGGCTATAAATGGGTCAAATCAAAGAGAATCAATCCTGTGACTCTGTAGTGGAATTTGAATTTGGGTTGTAAATAGCCCCAAGTTGGTCTGTCGTAATTGAACAATTGCTAAGTAACCATCTAGGACTGCCTGTATGCAAAACCAGGGGAGTCTAATTGTCATTTGCACCATTTTTATGGCCTTTGAATCTGAAGGATTTGTGCCCTTGAAAGCAGCAGGTAAGAACACCTGCAGGCTGGTTTTCCTGTATTATCAATAAGGGGATGGCAGCCAACTAGTGCCACCTAGTGGGCAAATTGAATGCTTCTGCCTGGGGCTGGAACTGGCTTCCTCTTGTCATTCTTTCTTTGGTGAAGGCAAGAAAGAAGAGAGGCATCTGGTGGACAAATTTTGTCCTGCTTTTCAGCTGCCAAGATTCTTGCCCCCTGTCTCGGGGGGGGGGGGGGGGGGGGGCAGAAGGGCCTTTGGACAGCTCCCCCCTCTGGCGCATTCAGAAAGTTTCACTGGTGGAAGAGAAACCTTGGGACAGAGTTTCCCAACCTTTAATTGGTGTAGACTTCAGCTCCCATAATCCCCTGCCCGGTATGCTATTTAACTTTAAGATAGGTGGAATGCTGGCTGGGGAATTGACGTCTACCCAACTTGAAGTTGTCAAGGTTGGGAAACCTTAACCTTAAGACATGCTTATAGATTCTCAACACTGATTTTAATTTCCAAACTGATAGAAGACATTTTAATATCGATTTCCATCAACATTTTTCAATTTTTGATCAGAGTGTTTATAAACCATCTTTATTTTCAGTTGATTTTAAAATTATTTTCTTGCTTTCTCTGATTATATTTGTATATGTAAAACACTATATTCATATTTAAAAACTCTGTCCACTTTTTTGTCCTTCCTTTTGACGAGCAGTCTTCCCAGTCCACTGAGGGTGATGACATTTCCATCCAAAGCCAGGCCTCTTCGTGCACCACAGAAGATGCCTCCGAAGACGCCATGTCTGTCCGCTCTGAGATGATCCAGAGGAAAGGTACCGCCCAGCAGAGCCATCTTGGAGCAGGGAAGAGGGGCCCAGGCTCTGGGGTCAAAGGGGTCAGATGCTGAGCTAGGGAGATGAGGGTAGCTTGCCCTCTGGAAGACAGAAGGGGCTGGCGGAAAGCTCAGTTGCAGCAGCCTCTCCATCACAGCTCTGTGGAAGTGGAAGCTGCCCCAGGAAGAGGGAGGGAAGGAATTGGGGCCTTTAACCCCAGAAGACAAAAGAGGAAGCCATGTGGGGCCAAGAGAGGCTGCCTGGGAATGGTCAGCTAAGAGAGGACAGAGCCTGTGGCTACTCAATGGGCAAGAAGGATGCTCCAAAGGGGGCTGTAAAGGAGATTCTCCGGCTGTAAAGGTGATGGCAGGAGAATCGCACTTCCAGGCTTGTAAGGTTCTTTTAATGTAGTTCCTTTACAGGAAAGTAGAATGTGCTTATCTAGTCCTGTTTCCTGTCTGGTCTACCTGGGCAGGCTGACATCAATCTATCAAGCTGTAGGTACAAATCTCCCACTCTTTCCTTTACAGCCTGAGAAGTGAGTGAGGGTCCTTCTGAGCTCTTGCTCTACCCTGTGGACTCTGGTATCTCTCTGACCTTTCCCCGGGTAGCCTTTCTTCTTCCCATCTTCCAAGGCCTTTCTCACACACCAGTGCATCTGCAGAAGAAGGTCAAGAATTTTGTTTATCTATTTTCCAGAGTGTAGAGGAGAGAATAACGGCCTCAGGATATAGAAAGGCAGATTCTGTTTGGATTAAAGTTTGAAAGAGAAGTTCAGCCATGGAACATTGACGCAGAGAGTTGGTGGTCTCCCTTTTGGTGAGGAAGTTCACTGACCTAGGAATGCTTCAGTTTGATTTCTTCACTGAGCAGGAAGTGGGACACCCTCACAGGCTCTGCCTTCTGTGATTGTTGAGCCCCTGCATCTGGTTGGGAGATCAGGCAGGCAGGGCCCCATTTTGTCTCCTCTGTGAGCCTCAATGGGATTAAAGGGAGATCTGATAGCCTCTTCCAACCCTTGAAGGGCTGTCCCAGGGAAGAGAGTGTGGACTTGTTCTCCAAAGCACCAGAGGGCAGGACAAGAGCAATGGGAGGAAGAGAGATCCAACCTGGAAATTTCCTAATGATGAGAACAATTAACCAATGGAAGAACTTGCCTCTCACAGTTGTGGCTGTTCCTTCACTGGAGGTTTTCAAGAAAAGTTTGGACAGGATGGTATAAGACATTGCAAGCCAGCCAAAGTTACCCTGTGGTAAGATGGACGGCTAATAAATGTAATAAATAAAGAAGGCCTCCTGCCTTGGACAGGGCCTGGGACTTCCAAAGTCCCCTTCAGCCCTGTCAATCTATGAGTCTATGAAATCACTTACAAGAGGAAACGTCTGAATTCTTTGCCCCTTTGGACCCAGGTTTTGTAATCTTTGCATTTTACTTTTAAGGAAAATAAGTGTGGAGTCCTAGGGCATCTATTTAGTTTAATTTTATATGTTGGCAGAAATAGTGGTGGGGACTTCCGAGACTTTGCTGCTGAAGTTTGATGAAGTTTTCCCTTCTGTTTGTTTGTTTGTTTGCTTGCCTCCCTCCATTTGTCCTCCCCTCTTGGCCCCTTCCAGGCTCCACCTTCCGACCACACGACTCCTTTCTGACGTCATCTGGGAAGGGAGAAAAGAGGCGGAGGGAGCGGAGGACCACAGTCCTGGGGCTACCCCAGCATGTGCAGCAAGAGCTGGGTAAGCGGCTGGCCAGGCACAAGACAGCCGGGTGGAGGGGGAGACTTGCACCCGGAGGGCCAGAGGGCAGTGCCATCCATCAGCAGCTGCCTGCCTTCTCTGTGCTAGCTGGAGCCTGGTTGGGGGAATTTGGAGAGGAAACTCTCCAAGGCTCCCAGAGCCCTCAGGCGCAGGAAGGGCAGAAAAGGGAACCGGCTGATCCAGGGGCACAAACTGCTGGCTTAGCTGGTGCCCTGGAGAGGGATCTGCCCCCTTGAGTCCCAGAGGGAACAGGGATTGCAACCGAGCACTGGGGGCAGGGGGGGGGGGATGATAGGCAGTACACAGCTTAGGAACCACAATGGAGCCTGCCTGTTACAGACATAAGTCATGACAGTCATAAAGCAGGTCGCCAATGTGACCAACCTTTTCTGTGGCAGTTGTTAAGGAAACCAGTTATTCACTATGGGCCAATTTTGCTGAAAACCAGAAGTAAATGCCACTTTTGGCAAAAACCTCTTAAAAGGCAGTGTGCAAGGGATGATGCTAATGGCTATGAGGACAGGCCGGTTGCCAAGTGCATCAAACAAGGTCATATGACTTTGGAGTGGGTGCAAGTGGCTGTCAAAACTTCAGAATCAGGTTGTGAGAACCCTGGAAGCTCTGTTGTAACTTTGCCTGTTCGCTAAGTGACCCATCATAAGTCCAGAACTACTTGTAGTCTTACAGAGGGGAAGCAGTTTTAACCAGTCTCCCTCCAAGTTGGTGGCTCAAGCGTTTGTTCTGGGGAGCCCCCCCCCCCTTGTGTCAGGCAGCGTCTCCCGAAGCTGAGCTGAGTGCTGTTGAGCAGGGCCCCAATCTGGGCTGCTTGGGAGGCCAAATAGGCGCTGCCATTTTTGTTGGTTTTGAAGGCCTGCAGCGTTTCCTTACTGGCCCTAAGTGTTTCCACCTTAATGTAGATGCTGCTTTAAGCTTCATTCATTTGGGAGAATTTCTCTTCATCACAGAATATAAATTCCAAAATGGAAGCAAAACCTTCTCCTACAATGGAAAATTCTGGACTTCCTCTTGCAGGATTGCATTTGGCTTAAGATGCAGCAGGATTTTTGGTCCAGATTCTTCTTTAAGAAAAGCCTGAACATCAACCCCATTTTTGTGGGCATTTTTCCTGCTTGGCTTTCCCATAAGATCCCTGCTGTTTGATCCTCCTGTTGATGGTTTGGACCAGCTCTTTTCCAAGGGTCCCTCAGAGTGGTCAACCCCCCCCCCCACTGCAAGCAGGATGCCTTCTCCTCTCGGATCAGCCAAGAGGGGGTGGGTGGTTGCGTGGGGGTGTGTGGGCAAGGGATTTTGCACAGAGAATGCTTGGCACAGCTAAATTGGGGCTGAGCAGTCTGTGGCTCACCTTGTCACGGAAACCCTTTCTAAGCATAGGCTATGAACTGGGCTATTGTTTCATGGGAATAAGGTCACCAAGCAGCCCTTGTATTTAGTGTGGACCAGACAATTTGTTGGCCCTGAGGATCCGTCCATCCTGGGGACTCCTGGAAGGATGGAGATGTTCTGGAGATTGTGTCCCAGAGTTCCCCTTTGGGCTCAGTTGTGCATAACCAGGGCCGGATTCGCACTGAGCCAAAGTCAAAAGCAGAGGTGGCATCTATTCTGGCTGGATTTATGCAACATGCATAGAGTGTGGTGGTGCAATTCCCTGCCTCCGTCAACCGCTTTGAGAGGGCTGTTAAGCAGTAAAAAGGCTCTTGCTGTGCCAAGTCAAGACCAGCTGTGACCTGTGGACTGAGGTGGGTCCCTCCTATGTTGAGCGAGAAGAGGCCAGCAGAGCATTCCTGGGATGGGAGTCGAGCCTTCCTCAGTTCTGTCTTGCATTGGTGCCCATTTGTCTTTCTCTCCACAGGCCTGAGCAATGGGCGTGACTCCACGAAACGTCCTGGCAGCATTGCCGTCAGAGCCGGCCCGACCACGCAACCCTTGGTGAATGGGAGTCAGTTGCCCGGCCCTGCCATCCAGATCCCCACCATCGATGGGAAGCCTCTAGCCACCACCGCTTGGGAGCGGGGGGCCCGCATCTCCCTCCAGGCTCTCGAGGCCCAGGCCTCAGAGGCTGCCCTCCAGCAGCACATCAGCCGCGTCTACTACGACGACTCTGTGCTGGGCTACAAGACGGTGGCCAAAATGTCTCCTGTGGCCAGGCCCAAGTCCCTGGCCGTTCCCTGGGTGACCACCCAGCCCAGTTCCCCCGAGCTGCTGAGCCCAGTCATGTCGATCTCGCCACAGGGCACCTACCTCTCAAAGATTATTCCCAATGCCATCTTGCCGCCTATGGTGGATGTCATTGCTCTGTCCCGCAACCGGGTGCGCACCCTCAGCCGCTGCAGCCTGGCCAGTGCCAGCCCGGCCCTCTCAGTGCGCTCCACAGGTCACTTCCCTGCCGCCCCCCGCAGCCGTGAGCACTCCTCCTCCAGTGACAACTGGAGCCACTCACAGTCCACGGAAACCATTGTCTCCAACGCGTCCACCATCTCCTCCCACAAGGGCCCCAGCGGCCAGAAGGACGAGGCAGGGCTGAGCGGCAAGAACGCCCCCACAGGCAGGCCAAGCTGGCTTGGTCCTTCCAGCCCTGCCAGTTCCAGACAGGCCAGGACCTCCCCGGCCTCTCCCAGCCTGCTCGGGGTGCGGCCAGGAGGGAGCAGTGGCCGAGCCTCACCCGCTTACAGCACCAGCAGCCTGGCCGAGGGCTCAGATGATGCAAGCGTGCGCAGTGACCGCTCCTCAACCCGGAGTGTCTCGCTCCGGAAGATGAAGGTGGCCCCCTTGCCCCCCCAGAGGACCTATTCCTTGCACCAGAAGGCTCAGCAGCTGGAAGCTGAAGGGGCGCCCCGAAGAATGGGGCTGCCTCCTAAGCCAGAGCGGAGGCCCCACCGGGAAGGTGCCCAGTGCCCCAGCCTGGCCAACGAGGATGATGTCTTCTCCCCCATCCACCTGGGCAGGACCAGCAGCCTGCAGTCCAGCAGTCTGACCTGCTCGCCGGACATCTGTCCCCGGAGCCCAGTGAGGGTCAGCCAACTGCGGGAGGCAGACAGGAGTGAGGCCCCGGAGCCTGGCTCTCCCCACCGCTTTGGCCGCACCATGTCTCCATCGAGTGGCTACTCCAGCCAGAGTGGCACGCCCACGCTGCACCCCAAAAGCCCCCTCCCCCATACCGTGTCCCCGGGGAAGAAGAAGCTGCAACCGAGGAAGCCGGAGCGCATCTGCTCCCTGCAATCCCCAGGACCCTCCCTCTCCTCCTCCTCCCTGACCTCCCTCTCCTCCTTGGCCTCTGATCACGCCCCCGAAGGGACAGCCCCGCCCACCCCCGCCTCCCTACCAGCCTCCTCTCCTGCTGCCCCACGTTATGTGGACCACTTGGTCATCCCTCCGCACCCGAAGGTCCCCGCCCCCTTCTCCCCACCCCCCACCGAGCCAAAGAACAAGGAAGGGACAGCAGCTGCCTCACCCCCCAGCAGCCAAGCCCCCCAGCAGCCCAGCCCTCTCCACAAGGAGAGCTCACCCCCACCCTCCCCTCCGCCGGCCTACCACCCCCCTCCGCCCCCTGTGAAGAGAGCTGAGATGAGTGCTGAGGTTCCTGGAGCTGTGCTGGTCCCCTCCGAGGTGGAGGCAGGGGCTTCCTCAGACCCCTTGTGGCTTCCTCCGCCCCCGCCCCTGCTGGATGAGCAGGATCTGTCCATGGCTGATTTCCCTCCTCCAGACGAGGCCTGCTTCCTGCCGCCACCCCCAGTCTTGCAGGTGGAGCTTTTGGATGCAGGGGGTGCAGAGGCCCCTCCCCAGTCCCAAACAGCCACCCCTGCAGGGCAGGAAGACGGAAAGCCTCCCTCCTTCCCCACAGCAGTCTCCGCAAATTTCCTGCAGCCAGGAATTCTGCCTCTGCCGACCCCAAGCATGGAGCCCTTCCCACTTCCCAAAGATTCTCCAAGCGGAGAACTGTCTGGTCCTCAGCTGAGCTCCAGGCACCCCACTGGCTCAGGGGTCGCAGTGCCCTCCAGTCTGTCCCCCCCGATGAAGAAGCCACCCACCGGTTCCCACCCTGACCTCAAGAAGGAGTCCGCCATGCGCGGCAAGGCCACCTCGGTGCCCAAGGAGGACGCCAGCCTGCCCATTGTTACACCATCCCTGCTGCAGATGGTCCGCCTGCGCTCAGTCGACATGGATGCCCACAGCCCCGGGGTCAGTCCAGCCGGGGGCTCCGTGACTCCCACAGAGTCCAGCAGAACAAACGTGGCTACAGATGGGAAGACCGGCCCCTCAGCCCCCCAGAAGCCCCTCCGCAAGTCCCTGTCCCTGAGGGGGGGGCAGCCAGCTTCAAAAGAGGGGATCAACCCCCTGCACGAGGCTGTGCGCCTCAAGGCCTCCACCTTAACTTCCAGGGAACCCAGGAGTCTCGGAATGGCCGAGAGGAAGACTGGGAGCCGGGCGGCGCTGCCAGGCATCCCTGCTGCCCCAGCTAGCAACGGCCCAGTGTCCCCACTCCACAAATCTCCCGCCTCCACCGCTAGCTTCATCTTTGCCAAGAGCCCCAAAAAGCTGGTCATCGAGACGGCATCCTCGTCAGAGGCCCAGGACAGCCTGCAGAAAAACTTGGTGGCTGAATTGATGACCGTGTCCAGCCAGCGATCCACAGCGGCCGTGGGGCTGCATCCGCAGGACTTGGCCAAGGCCCCCAAGGCCCAGAGGATCCCCCCTCCCATTGCCAAGAAGCCTTCTCTTCGGCCAAGGTGCAGGCCCTCCCCCCAAAGCCCAAAGTCCTCCGGAGCCGAGGAGCCGGCAGTCGAGGAGTGGACTAAGAAGGTGGGGTCTGAAAACCGGACCCCTCCCCTGGAGTCTGGCCATGGCAGCCTCCCACCTGGGCCAGAAGACAAGTTGCGGAGGAGCCCCAGAGCAGAAGGTGAGCAGATGGGAGACCCACGATCCTACGGGGAGCCCTTCCCATTGCAGGGGGGAGGGGGGTTGGGTGGAGCAGCAGTCCCAGGGGCTAGAGGGAGGCCTTTCCCCGGGATTTGCAGTGGGACTTCTGCTTCTTCAGAAGGCCTCAGGGTCCATGTGGCAGCTCTCCTGCCAACTTTAAGCCAGTTGCTCCTGGGATTTGGGAACTGGCTGCCGTTGCTTCAGGGCATGCCAGGCTTTGGGGGATTGGGCTTTCCTCCCTTCCTGTTGAAATGGCCCTGGAGGTGGGCATTGTCTACTCCGGCACCATCCCCAGTCATTTTGTGCTGCCCGTGGGCTGCCTAGGGGAGACAGGAGCCCTCTCACGCCCAGGAAGGTCTCCTCAAAGGCTTTCCTGTCACTTGTCCAATTGGAGACTTTATATCCCTTGAAACTCACTGCCAAAGAGGACTTGGGAAGCCCAGTGGAGGCTCCTCATAATTTGGAGAAGATGCCATCAAGAGTTGCCAAGAGTGTAAGTCGGTTGGGAAAAGATCCCAGAATAAGGCAGTGGCAAACCCTATTGCTGCCAAGAAAATACGTGGGTTTGTCTGTAATGCATCATAGGAGTGAAGCACACCCCCCCCCCAATTCAGACCCCTGCACCAAGGATGCTTGCAGAGTCAGGGTGGGGTCTGGGTTGAGGGAAGGATCAAGCAGAAGGTCACCTTCCTTGGAGCCATTTGCCCCTCAGTCAGGAAGCCAAGGGGGTTGTCTCTACATCCAGACCAAGAACAACCAAAAGTGGCTGTTAAAAGAGGCTGAGCAGATGGTTCCACAGCCACAGATTGTCCCTCCCCAGGACGCCTGAGTCCCACAGGCCCTGCTACGCTGTGGGTTGGTCCAAGCATGGAATGGCTGCTTGGCCATAAGGACTGGAGTCAACTGAGGAATTCCCATGTAGTCCAAAGAAGCCACTTTGGGGCTTTGCACAGTAGCCGAAACACTTTCAGACACAGACTGAGGTCAGCATCCAGGTCCATGAATGGGACTCAGAGAGTCAAGTCTTTTTCCACATGTCCACAGAAATTAGAATCAGAATAGAGCTGGAAGGGACCCTGGAGGTCAGACAAGTGGCCGTCCCGTCCTTTTTAAAAAAAATCTCGAAGGATGAAGCACCCACACTTGGAGGCAGGCTGTTCCACTGGTTAATTGTCCTCACTGTCAGGAAGTTTCTCCTTAATTCCAGGTTGCTTCTCTCCTTGATTCATATCCAGCTGTAGCTTCTCTTTTCTCTAGGCTAGCCAGACCCAAATCCACAACTGTTCTACATATGTTTTTGTCTCCGGGCCTTTAATCATCTTCTTGCTCTTCTTTGCACTTTTTCCAAAGTATCACCACCTTTTTTGTAATCTGGTGACCAAAACTGGATGCAGGATTCCAGGTGTGGCCTTACTAAGGCTTTATAAAGTGGTACTAATACTTCTCATGATTTTGATTCTATGCCTGTTTATACTACCAAGGATTGCATTAGCTTTTTTGGCAACTGCTGCCCACGGCTGGCTCATGTTTAAGTGATCGTCCATTAGGACTCCAAGGTCCCTCTCACAATTAAATCCTGAGTAGCAACTTGCAGCTCTTAGACTTTGTTTCAATAAAGGTGGTCCAGACTTGCTGAACAAAGTGGTCCTTACAACCGGTCCTCCAGTTCTGACAGTTGCAGTGTTCTGCAGCAATGCAATCTCTTTTTGCAACCTTCCCCAAGCAAAGTTAATGGAAGTCTCAAGTTGTGACAGTAATGGGGAGGGGGGGGGCTACTTGAACTGCTGTCACTTAAGCCTGATCACACAAGGTTGTGCTTTTATGACCAGCTAGAGGTGGAAATGTGGGTGTCAGTTGCCATCATGAAGTAGGGACTCCCTGTATCAGGCAAATCTTCCTGATGATAAAATCCGCAGAAGAGTGGAGGAGGAGAAGGGATTCCATCTCAAGACAGCAGCCTCTCCTGGGGGGTTGACTGCCTTTCCTGCCCATTGCAGAGCTTACATAGGACGTCCCTAAAGCTCCTTGCAGGTACCTCAACTGCCATTTGGTCTGGACCATCACAGCCCCTGCCCTGGTGCCCACCAGCTGCCAGGTGTGTCCTTGTTTTACGTGAAATGGGCAGCTATGTCGGTCACCAACAATAACAGTAACAAAAATTGGGAGGGGCAGGCTTGGTTCAGGGCTCTTGAACTCTGCTGCAAACTCTCATGCAACCTCTGGGAAATGAAAGTAACCCGACTTTCTCATTGCAGAAGCAAAAGAGGAGGTGGTCTGAAGGAGGACCCTGCGAGGTGCATTTGCCCATAAGATACAGGGATTTAAAAAGAAAAATATTCTCAGGGACCTCTTGGGGCCAGAAGAGAAGCTTTGATGGCGCCGAAGAAAACAACACCTTCGTCTCCCTTGGCCTTGATATTTATGCAACAGTGGGATTGGCTTGGATGTCCTCAGCAATGTGGCTCTTTTAAACCTGGGGACAAAGGGGCACATCCCTTTCCACCCTCCTGTCTCTCCTGGGACTCAAACCTTGCTTTGGTCCTGCTTGGTTTGGTGATGTTGAATTCCTCCCTCTCCCCAGTTTGGTGTGAGAAAACAGCTTAAGGTAGCATAAGATGAGGACACCTCGGTATCTGCAGGGAAGACGATCAAAACTGGATCAGCTTGTTGCAGTCCCCCCTCCCCCCCCGAAGATGCCTTTTTAATGGGTTGCATTGTCGTTGCTGTTGAGTGTGCATTTGGGGAGTGGAGGAGAGAGAATGTGGCCTGCGCTTGCACCCCCGTGTGGCATGGAAGCACTTGCTCAGATCACAGAGGGATCTGAGGAGGACAGCCATGGTGGGAAATTCCTGCTGAGTCTTCCTGGATGGTGCCGGGTCCCAGGAGAGGCCCTGCTGGTACTTTTGCTCTGGGCTCCTGTGGGCAGATTCTGGCTGCTGTAAGCGGCTGATTCCGGGTAGGGGGTGCCTATAGGGAACCCCTCTTGCCTACACACTAAAGCACAAATGACAGCCTGGAAGATGGTGCAACCACCAAAAGACATGCATTTTCTCCCAGTCTCTACCTGTGCCATGAATGCCGCCTTAGGGAAGCGCCTCCTCATCCCCACCCACCCCCAGTGGCAGTGGGAGAATCTCAGAGTTGTCTTGCAAGGGACAGGAGTAGTTAGCAGGCACCTGACACAATTGAGGCACACAGTTGAGGCTTGGCAGGCACTGGCAACTGTCTAGAATGTAGCTCTCCACTGCCAAAAGAGCAAAAAAAAACAAAACCCACTGCATTTTGCACCAAAACATTCCAGTCATGATGACAGGATCCACTGGAAAATTGGGTGGGGGACCACTTTAGGCCCTCCCACCAAGAAATCCAAGGGATAATGTCACAGGGCGCCTCCACTTGTGTTTTATTTGTGGTGAACTTGCCCCCCCCAATGGGCACAAAGCTGCAGAGTCATTGGATCTGATTTACACACCCTTCTGTGGAGGGGCTGGGTTGGGCATGTAGACAGGCAGCTCTTCCTAGGAGCTGGGGAGGTGGTGGCGGGGGCGTTCCATCCAGACTGAAGGGGAAACCTGGATGCAGAAACCCTCGTGTGTGTGTGTGTGTGTGTGACTCAGGGTGTCCTGATCTGGCCAGGAGGGTCTGCGGTGTCCTTGGGGCTTCTCTCCCCCACCAAGCATGGCCAGCAGTGGCTGATTCTGGAGGTCTTTGTGGTACCGAGGACAGCTCCAGCATCACAGGAGCCCTCCAGCGTCCAGATCACTTGCAACGCCCATGGTTGA